AGGGAGTTTCTGCCTCTTCCACCTCAGTTAGGATTGTCCGTTGTTGCAGGAGTTCCTCTTATCCAGTTTTCAGTTCTGTCTCAGGGGTAATTTTTCCATGAGTAGTTGTAAATTGGCTGTGTCCGCGGGAGGAGGTGAGTTGAGTCTGCCTATGCCGCCATCTTGACTCTCCAAAAATTTTTTTCTATACTTCATTTTGGATAGTTTTTATTGCTATGTTGTGAAGTTCAGTAATGTGCAGTGAACAAAACTGACACAATTCCTGCCTTCACAGAGCTGATATGTAACGAACAGTTTTACCTTATGATAAATGCCATGAAAGAAGTACACAGGAAGGACCCTACTTAGGGATGTGCTGGACCTCTCTGAGATGAATTTAAGCTGAGTGTTGATGGCAAGAACAGGGACAAGTGTCCTAGGCAGAGGGAACCGCGAGAGTTAGGAAGGGCCCTTGAGTTGGGAAGAGGTGGTCTGTGTCAGGAACTGAAAGGAGGCCTTTGGAGTGGTTAGCAGGGGCCAGATCATAGTTTTGTAGGTCATGGTAAGAAGTCTGGATTTAATTACAAATATAACAAAGTAATTGAAGGGTTTTAAGTAGGGGAGCAACAATCCAGTGCATGCTTTAAAACTATTTTTCAATTGCTATATTAAGAATCAACCTACTAATTCTCTGTGAAGATCTAGTTTCTACAGAATCAAAAAATCGCTCAATGAATTTCATATATATTTGTTTTATATATATAGGTACAGCAGTGAAGTAGAAAAAGCCATTTAAATAGTTATTAGTGAAAACTACAGAAGCTTATTTGAATGGCTATTCTGTTTCAGTAAGATCCTAATAGCTTTTTAAAACTTATTTTCCAGCTGGTGGAAGTTAAAGGCCCCAATGACCGACTTTCGCATAAGCAAATGATCTGGTTGGATGAACTGCAGAAGTTGGGGGCTGAGGTCGAAGTCTGCCATGTGGTTGCAGTTGGAGCTAAGAGCAAAAATCTTAACTAAGAGATATGGAATTGAGAGTATCTGGTCATACATCGGTTTAAGATTTTCAACAGCATCAAGCGTTATTATATTTAATTTTGATTTTGATTCAGTAATAAACCTGATGGTTTACTGACTCATCATTGTAAAGTAAGTAAGTAAGTGTCTTTTTATTACAAAACTTTGTATTGGCTTGACTACACTCATTGATTCCACACGACAAGTAATGAACTTTTTAAAAGGCAAAAACCTGGATGGCCATTTTAGGAGCTGGCTGCATCTAGTAAATTAGACTTACAAAAAAGCAGGAAAAACTCCAAGCAAATGAGATGGTACACAGCTTTATGTCTTTTATGCAAGTAGCATACACAGTGTTTCTTTCTAATAAGTATATTAGAAACAGAGACTCTTCAATTTATCTAAGTTCTTCTATACTGCTGTACACATTTAGCTGTTAAACCTTCTTGTTTTATGATTATCCAAGAAGGGCATAAACAGTTGAAATTCTGTTTCTTTAGGAATTAACATTCTCATTAAGTTCCTTAACTTATTTCATCTGTCAATGCTTGCTCTTACTAATATGGGCCTGGATCACCAAAAGAATGAACAGTCTTGATCAAGGGTAATTGTCCCTTTTCATCCTTCTCCTTGGGAACATCCCTAATAACTAGATCAGATTTCTATACAAACAGTATAATTGAAACAGAGCTGCTCATCACCATTGAAAGGGCCTCAGGCTGGGGAAGGTGTATGGCAGGAAGGGATTTATCACTACAGTAAGCCCAGGAGTCAGGGACCGGCATCCCAGTCTCCCATAGATTAGTTCTGAGACTTTCTTAGGGAAATGTTACTCCCTAGCTTTTTAATTTATTGAATGGAAGGACAAGGTAGGGCATGGCCCATGAATACCCACATGGTCTTAACTACAGCCAGTTCTGAACTGATATTAAAAATGTTATTGACCACTACTTTGTTTTAGAGAGGAAGCAAAAAAGGTGAGATGACGACACACACACAAGTACAGCTGGAAGAAAACGCTTCTGCTTCTTGAATCACTATGTTCTTGTAGATGATTTCATATTGATAACGACAATAAACAATTTCTGTGGAAATTTTATTTAGCAGTCAAAATTCCCTTCACATTCATTACTGTTGAACAACAAGATCTCTCATCTTCCTGCTCATCCTACTTTAACTCGTCATAATCAATTTTAGGCACAAAGGTTTTAGTTTTCTCTCAAAGTCAAGTTTTAACTACCCAAGGTTACTGCAACAGCAAGCAGATTTTGTTGAAGGATGTGTTGAATAGTTTTCACCCTCTGTTAGCACAAATTATTATACTTTTCTTAAAAAAAGTTAGACATTTTTGGTTTTAAAATTGGTTTCCATCATAGAATAACAGTAAGACGTACATCTTTAAGTTCAATACTAGAAAGTCCAAAGCTGTCTTCTATCTGCATGGTGTTCCATCAGCACAGGGCCATCGTGTGCGAGGTGTGGGGCCCTTGTGTGTTAGCTTTCTTTGGTACAGTGTACATAACCACGCTGAGGACTTGTGTCCCCACAGCTCCCTTTCTGCTAGCAGAGGTGCCAGGCAGCTTTTGCAATGGGCAGGACTGAGGCTGTTGTAGTTGTTTTTCATATTATGCATGATACATTGTGGCACAATAATCATGATAGAACAACTGTCCAGCAAAAATAAAACAAAAGCCATATTTTACTACATTTGATTATCATACAAAAATATGCCCATTTTCTATTTTAAAATAGTATTAATAGTACCTAATCTTTTTGTAAATTAACAAAAAAAAATTGCTACAGGAATTGAAATAAATGTGTGAGGGAAGAAAATTATAGAGAAATAATGCTCAACCCCAAAAAACATTAACAAATTTAGAACAATTTGTCATAATAAAAAAGCAGCTTAATGAAAAAGGGAGAATTATCATCACACTTGCAACGGGAGGATGTGCTGTGGTGTTCTAAGGGGATTGGGACTGGTTTCCAATCAAGGACGAGAAACTTTAATGGCAACAATCTGAAAAAAGCCCTCATTTTCTAGGCAATAAGTTGGCAAAAACATTGGGTTTCTCCACAAGATGAATTTCCTAAGACACTGTATAGGAACTTCTCTCTCTTTAAATGTGGAGACATTATCAAACAATTTTTAAAAGGCAAATAATTCAAATAGAAACAGTTATGCATTACACATAAAGGTAAAACACAGTTTGAAAATATTTTAGAAAAGGAAATAAGCTAACTAGATACTTTACTATAAAAAATTTTAAAAGCTTAAGACAGCAGTTTAAGAAACTCCAATAACAGCCAAATTGGAAAGTATCCAGCTTTTAAACAGGGAACAGGGTTTATGTGGGAATGAGGGGTGTAAGGGAGACGGCTTTGGCTAGGCTCCTGTCATGCAATGTGAAAACAAGGGAGTTGCAGACCAAGGATACACCTTAGTTTGCTTCTCAGTCTCCTCTTAATATTGCTGTCAAAAGTCAGGACGCAGGGCAGCTGCCCTGCTCCTTATAAAAATGGCAGTATTTTGAGAGAAGTTATGTCTTTATTTCTCCTATTCTCTATTCCTAAGTATTAAGAATGTTGAGGGAGGAGGGACTTCTGTGCAGGTGACCTGACTCATGACCTCATTATTAGTTATTTCCAAGGGAAAGTGCTAAGAATAGTTCAACACACTGGAAATATTGACAGGAAAGCCCCAAATGCTTCCGAGCAAGCCCTCTCTTTTGTGAGGGTGGGTCTCTGTGCAGACAGCACTTGCCCCCGCTGCTCCTGGACAGCACCAACACTGAGTACCCCACAGGCCCATGGGGTCCTCAGTGACTTTCAGAGGGGCAGAAATGTGGCTTTGGAGATTCTTGGCCACTGATATGAAGCTAAGTGTGAAAATGCTGTTTCCAATATGCAGTGGGATTTTAACACCCTAATTTTAAAAACTGAAATTTTAGTCAGTTATTCATACCTTAATATTAATGTCAAAGGCACTTCTAAGTTTAATTATATTATCTACAGCAAAATGCTTTTAAAGTTAACAGTGCATATCATTTTAAAGTTAGTCCTATGCAGTTAAAAGCAAACTCATGATTTTAAAACACAGTGATCTAAGGTCCCAAATAAAGTGATCTAAAATAAATTATGGCCTGGGAACACTGAACCCTCAGGTGAGTTCAAGTAGAGATAATAGAAAGTGACAGAAAAATACATGAATACCTAATGCCTGTTGAGGGGTTTATCGGATGCTTCTTGAAAATACACTAAATACTAACGTGTTAACTTTCCTGACATCTGCCTCTTTGGGTTGCTGATCTGACCAAGGATCAGGTAACCTGTAGGAGGTGCTAGGAAAAACGGATGCAGACAAAATACAAGTCATAGACAAAACCTGATTAATTTGATCACAGTAGTAAGAGTGGGGGAATATTTGCCTGCAAATCACCTAAAAATGAGCCAGACCTAAGATGACAGAGGATATGAGACAAAGTTTATGCCGATCTTTTAAAAAATTGTGAAGGAAGCATAATCCAACATGTTTTTAAATATTAGTGCAAATTCAAACTGTTTTTCTTACATATAAAATTATTAGAGCTTCCAATGCCTAGGTCAGCAATTTTAATTCAGAGGAAAATAGTTTATAGCTTCCCTCTAAGTGTTCAGAAAATAGTACATTTTAGTCTTCGTTTGCCAGTGTCTCAGTAGATAACCATATTTTGGCCCCACTTAAAAATTTGCTTAATGGTGTTCCTAAAATGCTTCGTCTGCATAGATTGCCTACAGGAGAAAAGGGAAATGAGGAGGAGAGAAACTCTGGTGTCCCTGAGGTATCGTGTGGGCCGCTGGCTCGGAAGTACAGCCTGCTCCGGTCCACCTCTGCGTAGCAGGCCTCCAGGGGGCCGCCGCGGGGCTGCCGGAGCGTCCTGCTGAGCATGTCCACCTCGTCGGCCAGCAGGGAGAGCCTGTGAAAGGCAGTGATGGAGCCGCCCAGATTGATCTGGGCCTCGGGAACCCAGCGGAAGTAGCATAGTTTCCACAGTTTTATGTGTGTTCCAGAGAGATGTGGCAGAATAACACCGTGCAGGTCGACTGGTTTGGAAAAGAATTCTCTAAAATACTGCTCCACACCACTGTCCTGGCTGTCGGTCTGCTGAGGAGGGTCTGGCTTTGCTTTTAATATTAGTGAATTTCTCCTTGGAAGTAATTCCTGGTCGCTGAGGATCCCATTCTTTAATGAAACCGGCATCCCTCTCAATGTGGAGCTGTAGCTTTTCTGTACAGAAGAGAGATCTCAGCATTATTTTCCTGGAGCTTCTTTTTAGAAAGACAATAAAGGTGCACTGGCAAATTTAAACTTGGTATTATGAAAAACCAGTGGAATTTTGGCCTTAAAGAACATTCTGTTCCTTCCCTTGTGATATGTATTCCAATCCTCCTGCACTGGAGTTGAACTCAGGCTGTGCCTCTGCCTAGTCTATTACCACTAGCCTGCAGGGGCGTGGGGGGTGGGGATACATCCTAGTCATTAATTTGTTTAAGTGCCAATTTCTAAGACTTCTAGGTTAGAAAAAAACTAGACCTGGCTGATTCTAGAAAGAACAGGCAGAGAGGATGGGTTTCAGGAACGAGGCCTCCCAGGCTCCGAGCTGCAATCTGCCACCTCTCAGATGCTGACCAGGGCTCTGTGGGCCTCGGACAACGAGAAGAGAAGTCAGGGCACAGTTATTTCAGTTAAAAAGTGAATGGTCCCTCAAAACCTGCACTGGCAGTGTTGTCACAGGAAGTGACTTGACCTTTAATACTCTGTGTTCTGAAAAGATGTTTTGGGTTAGGTGTGAGCAGATACCAGGTGTTTATTGTTAGGGCCTTTTGTAACTTACCTTTGTCCTTTTGAAAGATTTCACAGCACCGTTTTGCACACAAGGCGAGCTCTTTCCAATGTACGAGGGGTTATGGAAAAGGGTTCGATCCTTTGCTGAAAACTGAAGAGACCAGTCCCAAACTGAGGGGAATTTTAAACCTTTTTCATCACCCAATTGGATATTTTTGCTTATAGCAAATTCCTGCAAAATAAAATATTT